GAACAATCTATTATCGAACTGCATAGGTTAAAGAGTCATGAGGATAAGCTACTTAGGCTCGAGAATATAAATAAACAGTTGCAAAAAAATATAGAACACAAGCACGAGTTGTTTCCGACTACTAAGGTCGAGGAAAGTATTTCAGAGAAAAATACTGTTAAGGGAGAGAGGGAAGAACCTGAAAAGAAAGTCACTGTAGTCAAAACGAAAAACGAAGTTAACACGAAAGAAACTAATTTGGACGAGGACGCGCCTACAGCATGCGCTGAAACAAAAACTTCACCTTCAATTGACGTCGGCAATGATGAAGAGTCTTCGAATTCAACTAGCGACAAGGAAATCTCTAAGCGCAGCACCACGGTGACCGCACCGACTATTCTAAATGATGCCCCCGAAAAACCAGTGAATTCAGCCATTAATACTGACATCGAGATGGTGGAGAATGCTACTTCTCAAATTGCACCCACAACAGAGTCCACTAACTCAAATACTGTCATTGAAACCAGCGAAGATAAAGCTGTAGAAACAGCGCCTGCAGTTGCCGCTGAAGTTTCTGCTACCGCAAAGTCGCCGTCAGTCACACAAACAGCAACACCAATGGAAACGGCTAACACGTTGACGGTAATGATGGAAAAAGCCACAGGTAGCGTTTCAATACAGCACGACGAGAGTAGCAATCACTCCACCGCTGGTGAGCCTGATCCTCACTTGCCGCCCGAAGAACTCACTATCGAAGAGGAAGAACGCGATCGCGAATTACGCGAATCACGTGCAACTTTTCTCCAGCACTTGCCTTGCTTCAAGCTCCTGCGCAATGCCGTCAGTGCCAACGGTAGCGAGGCTGACTCCAATGACAATGGTGCAAAAAGCCGCGCCATTCCCAGGTGCCGCGAATGTCGACGTCGCAATGCACAGGGAGGCTCAGATGTCTACTGTCGTTTTTATGAATTTCGTCGTTTACAATATAACGAATCGGGTGAATTGTTAGTTGCTGGTTTCCCCAATCCCTACACCGATCCGACGCCTGATGATTTGCGCATCTGGCAACCAGATGAGCAGAGCGTTCCCACAGCTGGTTGGATGGATATCCAAGTGGCGCGCTATATTCTGTTACATGCAGGCGATCAGTTCTGCTACTTGTGGCAGCAAGAGGCCGAAGCGTTGCGCTTACATGAAAACCCCAATAGCGTTATAGCTTGGAAGAAGGTAGTGCAGGGCTTGCGTGAGATTTGTGACGTCTGTGACACGACGCTCTTTAACTTCCACTGGACGTGCGACAAGTGCGGTTTTGGTGTTTGCCTCGATTGCTTCAAAGACCGCAAGGAGCAGCGTAGCTGTCGAAAACGCCGCACCGGCGATAAAACGCAACGCGGCCATGACGAGTACCATTGGATGTTGTGTACCGCCACCACGCCCAATCATCAAAAACACGAACTGCGTGATCTAATGTTGACGCAGATTATAGCTGGCGACGCCCTTAATGTTTTGGGACGTCTCTTGCATGATATACGCGCCATGTGGCAGGTGCCGCAAATATGCGGCTGCTTGTTGAGCAAACAGGATCTGCCACCAGACACGCAGCTGGGCGCTTTAATACAAGACATGATCAAGGAGTCGCAATTAAAACAACAGACGAGCGCATCTTCGCTGGCCACCGAGGAGACGTTGCGCAAGCAGGCGCGCATGGAGGAGCTGCACGCCAAAAAATTGGAGTTTGCGCGCGCCAGAGGCATTGACTATGTGCCCGGACGGGTGTGGACCAAACAGACGCTGGGAAAGGATCCTATAACGACAGCTTTTGATAATTTCAAGCATATTAATTTCTTACGCAAAGGCTTGGCTGGCTTGCGCCGCTTTTTACCGCCGCGCGCCATGACACTAACTTATTCCACGATGCTGGCGCCAGGAGTGCCACACGAATGGCTATGTGATGGCAAACTTTTGCGTCTGACCAACTCCATGCATCCCGACAACCGCATATTATTTCAAGAAGTGTGGAAATGCGGACAACCAGTGATGATCTCGGAGGTGGCGCGTTCGCTGAATCTCGACTTGTGGCGCCCAGAAGCCTTTTGCAACGATTTCGGCGATAAGCCGAACGACCTGATAAACTGCTTAAATGGCAATTTAGTGCCCAATCAACCGATGCGCTACTTTTGGGAGGGATTCCAGTGCATTAAGAAGCGACTACTTGACGCGAGTGGCAAACCAATGTTGTTGAAACTAAAGGATTGGCCGCCAGGCGATGATTTTGCCGAAATATTGCCGACACGTTTCGCAGACCTCATGACCGGCCTGCCTATGCCAGAATATACACTACGTACAGGCAACCTGAACATTGCTAGTTGCTTGCCGAAAATGTTTGTGCCACCCGACTTGGGTCCGAAAATGTACAATGCCTACGGTTCGGCGCTACACCCTGACAAGGGCACTACGAATTTACATTTGGATATTTCCGATGCTGTAAACATTATGGTCTATGTGGGCGTGCCACAGGATGCTGACAGCAAACACCAATTGGTAGCCACCCAACGAGCCATTGCCTTGGGTGGTTGCGATTATCTAACGCGCGCGCGCTGCCAATCCCCTAACGTTCTCCCAGGCGCCTTATGGCACATTTTTCCGGCACGCGACGCCGACAAAATTCGCGATCTACTCAATCGTGTGACTATAGAGAAGGGCTTTCGCTTGGAACCCGATCACGATCCAATACACGACCAGAACTGGTACTTGGATGATAAATTGCGTGCACGCCTCTTCAATGAGTACGGCGTAGAAGGCTATCCCATTGTGCAGTGCCTCGGAGACGCCATCTTCATTCCGGCAGGTGCGCCACATCAGGTGCAAAATCTACACAACTGCATCAAAGTGGCCGAAGACTTTGTCTCACCGGAAAACATTACACACTGCTATCACTTGACGCATGAGTTCCGACATTTGTCGCACTCGCACACCAATCACGAGGACAAACTACAGATTAAAAACATTATTTATCACGCTATCAAGGATTGTTGTCATATACTTGTACGTGCGCTGGACCAGCGACTCGACGAAGAGTTAGCCAAAGTAGAGGAGCAGAATGCAAAGGCGGAAAAGAGTCTCATTGAAGCTACAGAACTTGCCGCACAACTAACTGGCGAAGCAACGACGAATGGCAAATAAGCTGATGGCGATGAAGTCTCACAAGATATATTCTTGACCTAACCAATTTTTTCGTAGCACTAATTCATAATAGTATTAAACATTTGTACGTGATTGTTTGACGAATTAAAAGATGTAAACCAATCAGTTCACTTTTATGTAAATCTCTTGACCAACATTTATTGTATCGTAGTATTTGATATATTATTAATAAGTTTTCAATAAAAAGTATACATTTTACGCAGCCTCAGAATATTTATTTGGGATAGAACTAATGGCATTTCTTTGGAACGTCGAATGTGAACGGGGCTAGATCGTTGAAACAACCGTCCTTGGTAGGAAAAATCTCGAGTCTTTCCGGGGGGTGGAATGGAATGCTTTGGGCACGTGTGGCCGCCCGAGACATTAGAATACAGTGCACGCAGCTTCAAAGGTGTTAGGACTGCCATGGGATTCCTCCTGAGCATCATTTCAGAGAGGCTTAGGGTGCGTTCATACCGAAAGCCGAACGGCGCCGAGCGAAGCAAAGCGGAACAAAGCGAAGATGCTGGTGTTGAATGAAACGAAGCAGAGCTTTGCTCATGGACTCGGCGGAAATGAAAAGCGTCAAAAATATTTGCTTAATTTTATTCAAAAGATTGGTTGTAAAATTCGTTTCCAATTGAATATGTATTTGGATATCTTGTTTGCAGCAGCATCTTGAAGGTGAAAAATTAAATAGAAAATACAAAATCAAAAACTGCTTTGCTTTCCGCTCCAAAATTCTTCTTTATCCGCTATGCTTTACGTTCCCTGAAATTTTCTGAGCCAATTCCATCTTACAGAGGTCGGTGCATGCTCATTAACCTAAAATCGTTGGAAAGTAGAAGCACTATTCTCTCTCTCACTTTCGTTTATGATCTAATAAATGGGATGGTCGACTACCCATCTCTATTCGCCTAAATTAATTTCAATATTCCGCAGCGGAATCATAATATTTTCTGATTGGGCACAGTCAAAACAAATTATGCTTGTAATGCTCCGATTCTGAGAACTTTGAGAGAATTTAATTCGCTTTCAACTCTTAATGGTTTTGACTTTTCTTACACAAAACACTATTTTAAAATGTTATTAAATGAATTATTTAATTAGTCTTAAGTGCTCTCTAATTTTCTTTCTTTGTAATCTGTAAGAATTGTTACACTTTTCGAGATTAAAACGAAATAAATAAATAAATAAAAAGCTTGTTGTATCAACACTTTCATATAGCTACAGCAAGTTGGAAGCTTCAATCGGCTTGGAACGGCTTGTTGTTGTTGTTGTAGCGTCTACAACAACCCCACCCAGATCGGTTAGTCCCTCAATCGTTGTTGTAAAGCTCTACTAGCGGTAGCCTCAGGAAGCGTGCAGCATCGACGGGGTCTGTCCATAGGGACAGGGGCGTCAGTAGTCAGTCAGTATGACTAAAAATTCGCTTACGTAATACTTAAATGGCCTCAAAAACAGATTAAAAGAAATCTACCTATCACGCGATTTTGCCCTGTCTGAATTTGATTTGGGTAGGTCGTTTCCAGTTCTGACGGTCCTGGAGATGTGAAGAATATTGCTTAATGCCACAAATTAAACACTGCATTAGACATCGCAAGGCCCCACATGTTTTTTAACTTGCCCCGTCCATCGCCCTTTTTGGATGGCGCTGATGTCAGCCTTTGTCTGCCCGAGGACATCTATCAGCCGGGAAGAGGTACCCTCCGATTTAGAGGAAACTTGGAGCAAATAGTATTCAAATATTCTCAAAAATGCTTGACAAAGATTTTTCGATGAATGTTTTATCGTCACCTTTTTAATTAAAATATTCTTTTATCTCTCATTTTTTCTAGAACAGTTTATTCAGACGTCCAAAGGCTTTTACATACAAACATATGATCGTGCGCTATACGATTTGTTACTGAAGAGATTTGCTTAGCTAAAGAGTATGAATGAAGGAATTCGGTGCTTAAAATGTTAAATGCAAACCGGGCTACTAGAAGTCAATTAACTAAGGCAACTACATATATAATTGCTTAATGGGTTTTAAGTAAAAGTCTAACTAACTAAATTTTGATACATTAACGAAAAGCCGTACGAAACAAAAATGACGGTCGATTTCAATGATTATTTTTGGGTAAATCTGGCTTGTTTGATTTTTATGTTATTAGTAATTTCATTAATTTTTCCCTTGTTACATCCTAAAGGGGGAGAAGAACAACGGGTTCGATGTACTCTACCACAACATGAAATTTGGCTGGGTAGCGAGCAAAGAACTTTCCGAATTCTTTCGCGAAAAGTCCAATATCGAAGAACAAAACTCCAAATTGATGGCCAAGTTGGCGCACAAAGCCAGCACTGGCACATTGAATAGTACATTTGCGCCCGTTTGGACCATACTGCGCACCTCGGCGGAAAAACTCTCCACCCTCCATCTGCAAATGGTGCAAAAGCTTACCGAATTGGTGAAGGATGTTGCCAAATATGCCGATGAATTGCATAAAAAACACAAAAGTGTGAAGGAAGAAGAATCGCAAACCCTGGAATGCGTGCAAGCGATGCAAGCATCCACAGCGGCTGTGCAAAAGTTGCGCGATGTCTACGCGAGCAAAGTGCTGGAGTTGGAGAAGTTGCGCAAAGATAATGCATCACAGAAGGATATCGAAAAAGTCGAAACGAAATTACGTAAACTACAGGACGAATACAAGACGCTGCTTGACAAGCATAACCCGATCAAAAATGATTTTGAGCGCCGCATGACGCAGACGTGCAAGGTATGTATGATGCAAAAGTAAAAGCTGCAAGTGTGCAAACAACTAAACACAAACCTCTTCTCTTGACCATATTTATTTTGCAGCGCTTTCAAGAAATCGAAGAGGTCCATTTACGACAAATGAAGGAGTTTTTGTCTACATTCTTAGAGATGTTGCAAAACAACCACGACATGGTTGGACAGGTTGGTTTAGCAGCAATTAGTAAGAAATATCTTCGTGAAGAAACACGGTAATTTTTCCTTCCAACAGGTGCATTCAGACTTTAAGCGTCAGTTTAATGACATGACCGTCGACAAACTTTTGGAGCAATTTGTGCTCAACAAATACACAGGCTTAGAAAAACCAGGTTCGTACCAATATTGGCTTAGTTAATACATTAATATTAAAAATTCATGCTTTTAATTGCAGAAGTGCCCGAACTCGAAATCATTCCACTTTCTATACAGCAACAACAGTCCATCTCAGCTACGCGGTTGAATCAGCCCGGCGGGACTGCAGCGGCTGCTTCCAATTCCAACTCGGCCACAAGCATTCAAGGTGCCATATCACGTATTACCAGTGGTAGTGTATCAATGGATCAACGAGGCAGCGCTGGTATCGAAGCGGGCTCACTGGGAAGTGGTGGCGCTGCCGGTGGTAGTGGCAGTGGCAGCAATAGTATACTAAACGCTGACGACACCATACTCGGCATACAATCATCACCACGTGCAACATCACCGATTTTAGTGAGCGCCACAACAGCAAACGCCGTATCCAGTGTTGCCGCTATCACAACTACTAGCAGCGCCAGCACTGGGCCTGCAGGAGTGTCGTCGTCAAGCACATCAACAACCACTTCCACAGTGCGCAGCAATTTNCCTCCAGTGTTGCCGCTATCACAACTACTAGCAGCGCCAGCACTGGGCCTGCAGGTGTGTCGTCGTCAAGCACATCAACAACCACTTCCACAGTGCGCAGCAATTTTTTGAATTGGTTTTCATCGAGCATTCCAAGCAGCAAGCAACAAGCAAATGCCGCAACAAGCAGCAACGCTCCAACAGCTGAAACACCAGCAGCAGCAGCAGCATCAACAACAACCGCTAATAGTAGTGGTGGTGGCAATTTCGGTACGGATAGCAATGGTTCTACCCACACCGGCACAGCCATCATCAAATATTCCCTTAATTCAGAGCTTCAGTCACTGCAGGACAATAATAATCAAGGTTCATTTATGTCGTCTGCTTTAACACAATTACAATCAGAACAAAGTGCCACTACTACTACTACTACTTTCTCTACTACTGCTAGTCCTCCTACTCACTGTACCACTGAAAATAATACTACTACCACCAACAATACCACTACATCATCCACATCCTCCTCTATAACAAGTACGTTTTATGTTTATTTTTTATTTATTTTGATAGTTTAATTTTTATGTTTCCAAATCAAGAGTTATCTTATCCTACGTTTCTATTACTTTCAAGTTTTATGTTACTTTTCTTTTTATGTTTATCTTAGTTACTTGTTTTATTTATTATTTATATTGTTTGCTATTGCATTACCTTTTTGTGTTATTCTGTGATTAAAGCAGATCGATTTTTCGTCTTTTTACAAGTAATCTCATTTGTAAATAATACCATAAATGTATTCACGAAGCACTCTAGACTTTTTCCAATTAGTATGTGCCTTTGTAAAATTTTAAGTAAATCTCCTGGGTTAATGCGATGCTTTTTGTTACTGTGGGAAGTCCGTAATAGATAAATGTCTTGTGTTTTCGTCAGCAGTCATTCCTGATTATTAGAGAAGATTAGGGTTTAAAGCTTGGGCCAGGGTTCTGAAATATCTTAAAAATAAATTAAAGTGTAGTTAGAATAACATTTATTCAATTATCATGAAAATGTTATACATACTTGGGATGCGTCGCATATGCCTATCTCTCCCTTCTTATCCCCATTGCTGCCTCCGATCATATTGAGAGCGAATTATCGAAACGTGCTACGCGGTGATATAAGGTTTAGTAGAATAAGATTAAGATTCAAGATTAAAATTGAAATAAAGATTGAGATAGGGATTTCACGGAAATATTTGTTTTAATATCGATGATAAAGTATACTCACTTCAATTCTGTCTTAAAGCGGCTTAAGTCACGATTGGTTTTGACAGAAGATATAATTAAATTCTTTCAAATCGCAAAATATTGGGTAGAAAATTATCATACCTAAAAAGTAATTTTATAATATATAAAGTAATCGAGAAAAGTTTAAGTTCCCTATTCTGGGCAAGGCGCCATCATTTTTGTCTTGTTGGGGGAATTAAAAGCTCTATTGGTTTCCAGTAACTTAAATCTCCTACAGATTTGATTCAGCCTAATTTTTGTCTTACAGAAAAATTCTGGATTATTCATTTAAGATAACAATCATATTTAAAACTTGTAAATTTTGTTTATATTTTTTATAGTTTTAAAGGCAGTGGCACCACAATAATTTACTAGAAGAATAGCAATAAAAATAAAATTGTCCAAATTCACAAACACTAAATCAAATCTCTAAGCATCTTAAACACTCAGACTAACTCCTATGCTATCCAGTGAACATTTATTATTTACATGCATATGTACCAATAAAAAAAAAACACATAATACTAACAATTAAGTGCAAGGATTTATAAAATTTCTGTTTTGTCTTGCAACAGAAGCTCTGTACCAAAAGGTCGTTTTGAGAGGCACAAATTTATCCAACCATTTACTGTTACAACTACAAATTTTGTTGTACTGCTGTGTCTGTTTTTTTTACGTGATTAACCAAATCCCTATTAACTTTCTACCAAAACAAAAAAAAAAAACGCATGTGCTTATACATATTTAGATGAAGCAACCATCGAGCAGCAACTACAACATCGCACATCATCACCCACACCAACCGCCTCGAATGCTGCAGCGAGTCGAAAATACATTGAACCAATTTCAACATCACTTAACGAACGTTCAAATCATCTGCATCATCATCTCCATCAAACGTCAACGAGTAGCAGTAGTGCCACTGCGGCTGGGTCGGCATCTAGCGCGGCTGCGGCTGCGGNAAATTTTAAGCACTTCTGCAGTTTTACGCTGGAATGCGGAAATCTATATACCTATACATAAATACATCTTTTATCGTTTCTGACTGCGGTGTTTCGGTATCTTCTTACATTATGATTTATAAATATGCACATAATACTTTTTATTTGTTGTTGGCACAGCGCTTTGTAATGTTCTCACTGTTTTTTCCCAACTGGAATATTTTCCCTTATATTTGTTTGTTTGATGGCTTCTCGGGGCAAACTCAATCTTATGCTTCTTTGTTCTTTTTTCATTGGTTTTATAAACTTTATTTATGTATATTTTTATAACAATAAGCGTTACCTATTAAGAGCTTCTTTTCTCTGTGGCAAATTCAATGGCAACGTTATAGCGAGTAAACCATGTAATATTTAGTGATTAACACCTAATTTGTGCCATTGCTCCTCCTTAACCAGCGAAGAACACAGAGAACCAATGTTAAGGCATAGTGGACATACTCAGTAGATCATTTCATCAATTTTTTATTATAAATACGAGTTATTCCGGATTTCTACGGCCATTGTGTGACAAAATTTCATTCTTTACCTTAAGAAAAATGTTAATTTCCACATGCATTTTTTTATAAAATAATAATAATACATTGGCGCTTACACATATGTATGTTAGTGTTTGGCCGAGCTTCTCCTCCGATTTTTAGCGTGCGCCTTGATGTTGTCACACAAAGGGGAGGGACCTACAGTTTTACGCCGACTCCGAACGGCATTGTTTTTTATGAGAAGCTGTTTTTCATGGCAGAAATACACTCGGAGGTTTGCCATTGCCTGCCGAGGGGCGACCGCTATTAGAAAAAAACCTTTTGATTTTAATTTTTGTGGTGCTGGGTTGAGCCGGTCTTGAACCCAGGCCCTTCGGAGTGGTAGCGCGCACTCCAGCGGCCACTTTTTTATATACCACAAATTTTTTTGTAATTTCATTCATTGCCTAGTAGAAATTCGGTGAATTCGGAAATTTTTATTTTATTATTTAACTGACTTAACTAAGTTTGCAGCAGCAGACTAGTCAGTGAAAAATTTGCCTCGAATTTCTTAAATCCTGTGGTTCCACGTTTTTCTGTGAGTAGAAACTAAGGTCCTAGCCTATTGGTTTAAGTGATGAGACTTTCTTTTTAAGTTATATCAAAATTTCTACATATATGTATGTATGTGTAATTTAATATAAATAATTACTTATTACTACCTATTATTGTTTATAAAATTATATATGTCTGCCATATTTTCATTACTCATTCGTAATAGATATCCGCATGAGGTCTAGGGTGCCGCCTCACATTTCCCCTTCTATAAGTTTATTCGTTTACATAAATGCATGAGTTTTGACTAATGTGTACATACCTCCATTGCGTTCATGCTCATGTCTTAAGTCTATACAACCTATATCGTTACTAACTTTTCTTTCGCGAATACTAATTTCTAATGTCTATCAAATGTGATTCGTTATCATACAATGGGCTATACACAAAATTACTTACTAACGTTTGTAAGAATAATTGAATCTACAGAGAACACTACAAAGGAAATATCCGCTTCTATTCCAGTTTCGCGTTATTGATTGCTATTGAAAATAAATAATTAATTTTGTATTAACTTATCATCTTATAGCCATGTAAAAGAGTTATTATCTATAGTAATATTAATGCTTATTACATACAAACTATTAATGGTGGCGAATAATTTTGTATAGAATGAAAAATTTTATACAAGTCAAAAGAAGTTAACGGTTGAATTTCCTCTTGATGTAACGTTGTTTGGATAAAGAAAGTATTAAAGATAAAATTATTTGATTTTCAAATCAAAACCAGTGCTAGGCACAAAATACAAACGTTAATGGCGTGTATACCCCAACGATTTCCTAAAAGATGCGTGCTTACAAAAAATATCAATATTCAAATATTTCTTCCTTTTTCCTGCACAGTGTCTGGCATCTTGCGTAGTCGCCGGGACAAAGCGAAAACCAAAAAGTCTAAAAAGAAGAAAGATGGCGAAGCTGCTGATAATATACAAGAGGAGCGCCTGGGCAGGTAAAATCTTCTTCGGCATGTGCTTGATTGTTTACCATTTTATTTATTTTTTATCATGCTCAGTGTGGATCGCGCCAACAATTCCTATGACACCGAAGAAAACAATAAAATGAAGGCGCAGAATTCTAGCGGCAGCAGTGCTGGTGGTCTAGGCATATCGTCTGCTTCAGCTCCAGGCAGCGTCGACTCGTCGGGTGGCGGAGCTGGTGCACTGGGTATTAATGTTTCTGGAAATAGTGGAAGCGGCATAGCAGGGAATGGTGTAACGAGCAATGCGAATACTAGCAGCGGCGCAACCGGAAATGGTACGGCAGGTGGTGCTGCTGGTGTAAAAGCATATGGCGCTAATGAGGTGGACGAAGATGGCTATAGTATGCAACCACCGAAGGAGATTGCCTGGGAGGAGAATCACGACAAAAGTGTGTGAAGAATTGCGAAAAAATGAAGGAAGAATATTTATTTTTTTGTAAAAAATGTTTTAATTATTTTGTCTTTTATTTCTAGCTGGCGGTTTCTACTCTGACTCCGATTCAGACTCAGATAACGACAAGCCAGAACGACGCATTCATGTGAAAATCAAGCCACTAAACAATGGCCAGGCGCCAATGTCTGCCAGTGTGGATGAGTTGCGTGCCACGGTGGAGAATATATCACTTTCGCCTACTAGCGTCTTTTCGGTAAGCCTTAATTAAATTACTCAAAAATTCTGCTGTTCTTAATAAGCTTGATTGTATATGTACACGCTTGCGTTTCCCACCTACATTTAGACTTTCAACCAACAGCACAGCAACCAGCAGCAGCAGCAATCGCGCATCGCTTCACGACAGCAGTCGCCCGAGATATCCAATGCATCCACGCCCACGGCTACGGTGCATCCATATGCGCCGCTGCAGAGCCCGACACTCTCCATGTCCAATAATTCACGGTGAATTTTTTAACGATTTCCTTTGCGATTTATTGTAGTTTGTGAAAAGCGCTATTTTTCTGTAGATATGCCGATTTAGGCGATATATTCTCCGAGTTGGGAGAAGTTAGTGTCTCGGCGCCAGCCTCCGCTACGCTTTCAAAGTCGAACAGTCGTCAAATACCAACACCTACGTCAGCTAGCAGTATTGCAATCCCACGACCACCTTCACGACGTTCTGAAATGGTAATGGCACCCACAGTGGCGGCAGCACGTGGACGTATTAGTCCATCGCCAGCTATGAATCGCGCAGACAGTATTGGCAGTTTGGAATTCCGCACTGCTATCGGTGGTATTGGGTCTTCGCGCGGACCTTCGCCGCTAACCATCGGTATATCGGACACGATCCCAATAGCGGTGGCATTCCATGAAATCATACACGCCTACTTTAGGTGCGAAAAGTGTTTAGAAGAGTACTGTTTAATGACTATACTTAGTGATATTTAACGTATTTATTTTTACCTAACAGAGGTAGTGACGAGTCGCGCTGTCAGGTGAAAATCTCTGGCGACATGATGTTATCATTTCCAGCGGGCATTGTTGGCCTTCTAGCGAACAATCCTAATCCTGCGAAGCTTGGTTTTCGCATCAAGAATGTGCAGAGTTTGGAGAATTTAATACCGAACTCGAAATTAGTGCAAATGTAAGTAGAAAAGAAAGGTACTTCGCTGAAATTTCAAAATGAAAAATAAAATTCTCAAGTATTTCGCTTATACACTGCCGGCAAAAAGTATTGGCACAGCTGCTTTTTTACAATATATGCAAAAATGTTTATTCTAATATATTTCCGACAATTTTTTATAACAATATGGTTCATTCCACAACAAAACCATAAAAATATAGTTCCAAAACTTTGTGCAAAATTCATGAAAATTCAGCAAATTTTCATGCAAATTTTCAATTTATTAATCAGATTTTCAGAATTTTTCTTGAGTATGCAGTTTTACAGCCCATTAAATTCTAGTAAAAAATGCAAGTTCGGAGTTAAGTAAAAAAATCACATTGATTTTTAAGAATTTTTTGTTTAAGGTGTTTTGCATTTTTTCCATATAATATTTTCGAAAAAAATTTTTTGTATGCAAGAGACTACGTGAAAAAAATTGCCAAAAATCAACGGTAATTCCTAGCTACTTAAAACATTTACTTTGTTTTAATAAAACTGATTGGGCTACAAAACTGCATTCCCAAAAATATCTGAACAATCTGATTAAAAAGTTGAACATTTGCATGCAAATTTGCTGAATTTTCGTGAGTTTTGCACAAAGTTTATTAATTATATTTTTATGTTGTTGTAAAATGAACCATATTTTTATAAAATTTGTCGGAAAATATTACAATAAAATCCTTTGCATATATTGTAAAAAAGCAGCTGTGCCAATACTTTTTGCCGGTAGTGTATAAAATTCTCGAGTGTATTTTTTAATACTTTATATGTGCAAACATACATACCGTCAACTGAAATGAAAAAAGACGTAACAAACATCGTCGCTGAAATACAAAAAGTTGTAACTAATAAAAAATTCAAAATTCATATGATGGATTTGATATGATGGATGGAAAATTGATATGATGGATTTCATCGAATTACAACTCCCACATCATTTTATGAAAAAATAAATAAAAAATATTAGTCACGACCTTTTCCATTTCAGTTACGTGTTTTTACGTCTGTTTGCATTTCGGGTGCCGATACATACTTATGTAAACTAATTTCCTGCTTCTCCTTGCTAGCGATCGCAATCAATCCAGCTCCTTCAGTACAATGCTGGAATTCAATATGCCCGCTTTGACTGCCTTGCTGCGGCGGCAAGCGGAACATAATCCCAACGCGTCATACTTCAATGTAGACATACTCAAGTATCAAGTGCGTTCTAAGCCAGGCGCTTCATCGTGCCCCTTCCAGCTGGTGTCGTATTGGAAGTGTGAGCCCACATTTACAGCACTTAAAATCGATTACAAGTACAATAACCATGCAATGGCAAGCGGCTCGCCGCTGTTAAACGTAACGCTCTCGGTGCCCGTGAACGGTTCTGTGCGCAATGTGCAGTCGAAACCTCATTCCGCGTGGTGAGTTCGACTGGGACTTGGAATTTCAACACAAATTATACAAAAATACAAATTGCTCTTTGTTATAGGCTTGGTGAGTCCAATCGGTTGGTTTGGAATTTCACCGACATCTCGCAAAATTCCCAAGATGGGGGCGTTGGAACGTTGCGCGCACGTCTCGAACTGAACGAAGGTCCATCCATACCGGCCCTGCTGACTACACAATTCAATTGTGAGGGCACTACATTGTCGGGCATTGAGTTTGAGCTACAGGGCAGCGGTTATCGGTTATCGTTGGTGAAGAGGCGTTTTGTCTCCGGTAAGCAAAAACGAATTTATGAAGAAGTAACAAATTAGAGCTCAGACACGTACACACTGGTATATAGTTAAATTATGATATGCTTAACTCATAATTTAAAGTGGCGGTTTAAGCTCGAATTACTGAATTTGAGAAGTCAATATAAATTTTTGTGTCTATGCGTTTTCAGGCAAATATGTGTGCGAAGGCGACGGGGTGCGCAGCGGCGCCACACCTACCCCACCGTCAGTGGGGTCGTCTAGTCCATTTTCAGCAAAATCGAACTAGTTTACAAACGCAACTAATTCTCAAGAACGAAGAACAATAAATCCGTATAAACTAGCAGCATCAAAGGTGTAAAACGATTTTTTTTTTTATTTATAAGTATCCATTACTATCTACATGGACTTCAACCAACCAGAAATACAAATTATAACATATAAATATCTACATAAATTTAACGGCATAAAAGCAACGACATTTTTGCAAATGTATGTACATACATATACGGCTAGACAACTGAAAAAATTTGCTACACGCTAAACATTCACTAAATGTATGTAATGTAGAAAACTAGGCTCGTGAATTAATAAAAAAAGCGTTGTAAAATTAATGAGGAAGAAATTTAAAAGATGTGCACACAAAAATGTGGCATGCATTATGCTATCTAGAAAAAAAAAACCTTGTAGAAGCTGAATTTTTTTTGTGCTTTGTATTTGTACGTATTATACGCATTTGAATGCTAAACAGCCGAGCGTAGGAACTGCAGTTACCTTTGGTAGAACGCCGAATTTAACTTTCGCGCTACATTCTCTACAAGCTTATTTCATTTTTTGTGTAATATATTTATTTTTCATGGTGTCACTACGCCAGAGTTTGTGTTAGTCGTTTGGGAAAAAAACGAGCCAGTTAATTGAATTGTCAACCTTTTTTCTTTTCGCATTCTATGAAATAATCAGTAAATATGTAGCGTGAGAAGATTGTACTTTTACGTGTTGTATTGTTAAAACTCTTATTATTACCATAAACATTATTACTATTGAAAAAAGTATGTATGTATGTAGATTTTTATATATACATATTTACTTGTATATGCTAATATTAAACTAGAACACTAAGTGTTGATTTTATGTTTATTTTTTAAATGAAAAAATAAATAAAACATATTATAATGATGGAAAATAGATAGTAACACATACATACATACATACATACTTACATACGCCCATGCAAATCTATTACAAGCATATATTAAATAAACGCTAATAGCATTTTTTGGTATTCTTATAAATGCCCATAACATAACTACAAATGTAAAAAATATGCATTTTCCAAACCAAATGTAATAGTTTCTGTAAGAAAAAATATTTTGTCTATCACTGAACTTTACTGCAAATCTTCGGTTTGTCAACTTTGTAGGTATTCTACAGTAATTTAAAAATATTTTTAGTTGCTGCACTGTAAGCACCTACATATCTGCTTCGATCATTACCGCTTTAATGACTATGTAGACAGAACTATACCACAAATACACACAAAAATATTCCAAGATATCACGCCTTTTTATTTTATTCTTTACATAACGTTAAAATGATTCCATAAGTGAGACTGTGTGCATGGAAATCACGACTCAGCTGCCGCTGTTCGGCTGCGTGTGAAACACGCATGTGCTCAAATAGCGCTCTGTGAGCTGTGGCCTCTAATCACTGGCATAATCGCAAAAAAAAATAACTCATTACCTTTTAACAATACCTATTGAGTTCTGATTGACTAAAATTTTTGGTTTTTATGTTAAATTTCAAAGTACAATGAAAATATCATAATAAATATGGGTTACAAGTTTGAACTTAATTTTGTTAAGCGCACGCAAAAAATACTGCATTAGAATATTTACCACGCAATTAAATCTAAACTTTTACCTCCTGGTGTACTTTATTCCAAATTATAACAAAACTATGATAAATTGTTGCAATTAAAATTGAAAACCAAATGTTTTGTTTTTATTTTTAAATCCACTACAATCTATTTAAAATAATAGCAAACAAATTTAACAATAATAATATTATGTATTTAAACCATAACGTTTTTTTATTTACTATCTAGGGGAGAAAGCATTCGGATTTTATAAATTATGCGCCTAGAAAAAAGCATTGTGATGTTTGATAAATATTTATTATTATTAAAAATACATTACATTATTCAGCCCAAGTGATATGGATTTTCCAAAAATACCCCTGAAGAATTTGGCTGAATCGTACACATGAATTTTTTCAGGTTTAATTTAGATTTTTAGAGGTAAAACATTTTGTAGCTTTGCGATTGTCCTGATACCAACCATCCTTGCCCTATCTGCTCTTCCCTGTCATTCCCGGCACGCGGTAGAGGAATTCCCCATCATCATCATAATACGCATCTTCCACTCGATAGGTCGCTCCCTCGCGCCAAACTTTGCGTGGAATATGTATGCGGTCCTTAACGCGCGTAATTTCAAAACGTTTTTGATCCTCAGCACTGATTACAATTTCACTGCTTTCATATTTTTCCAGCAGATTGTAACCACCCGCATTAATATTATGCGGCGCCTTTGAAATTATGCCTGTACCATTCGGATTTTCAAGCCTAGCAACTGTTTGCTGCGCTGCTCCCTCAGCTGTGGGCGATTCGTTATTGGATGAATGAGTCGAAGAAGCTCCTAGCTCCAACGGCGATAGCTTGTATTTCTTCAGTTCTTGTATGCGCATTCTTCTTTTATCGTGCACTTTTTCTAGCAAATAAGTTTCGTCCTCTGCGTTAGTTGCTGGTGCTGTCTCAGCCTCGATTAAGTTTCCTGCCATCAATTGTGGGGTTTCTTGTTCTTTCTCTTCTGCATATTTTTTGCAACTTGTAATAATAGATAGAAATTCTTTTTTCTTTGGACGGGGCAGCGTGGTTCTTGGTGGCAGTTCTTCAGCAAGAGCGCGCAAATCTTCAGCACGTCTTGTGGCGAACTTCTGCAAATGAGCTTGAAAATTAGGTGGAAGTTGCAACAGTCCGGGATCCTTTCGAAACTTTTCCCAATTTTGTATGACCGTCTCATCGTGTTTGCGGATTCGCTCGATGGTTCGCGCCTGCCATTTAGCCCCTAGTATTTTCTGCACGATTTCTATAGTAGCAGGAAAGCTTTCTGCCAAGCGCTCGGCAGTCCATTCCTCAGGGTCGCGCGCATGTAACGTGCGTATTTGCTCCTTCTCGGCATATGTGAGCAAGTTTGGCAATTTGGCTTCGCGAAAGTATTTGTGCTTGACCATAAGATGGCGCACACGTTCCCGTTGGTGCATTATTTGACGTTCATGCTCACGATGCATTTGATTCGCAGTCATAAAATCAGATTCCAAGTCGCCAAAACCTTCGGGATCTTGCATGAGGCGTTTCTCAACACTTTCCATGCTAGTGAGCTGATGCCCGACGCCGGGGTTGGATCGCCGACCTACACCACGCACCAAACGTGACATGGTTATGTGCAAATGACGAACTTGCGAAGCAGGCACCATTTTATTATTATCGAAAAACTATAAAATACAAATTAATTAGTGTTTCTCAAAAAGAACTAAAGCGCAAATTTTAATGAAGCACTAAGCTCAAAACACGAAAACAGGTGATGAACAGCTGATTGTCATTTACGCGACGTCGCAAAAAAAACGCCGTTGAACATTCGACGAGGCGGTGAAATTTTGACATTAGCGGCGTTCAATTGTGCGCTATGGGGCGCAAAAGTATTTTCCCGCCAAAGTGTCCGTTAAAATTTTTCATTGAATGTGCGTACTTTAACCGTGTCAAATTTGTATTAATAAATAGGGATAAATATGCAATTTTTATTAAAAAATAGTGTTACATACAAATTCGTAATATCGACTTAAATAATAATAATAGTGTCTTTTGTGTGAGAATTCTGCGTTTATTCGAGTTGTGTCAGAAAGCACCTGCAATAAGATCCCCACCGGTTATAATTGCGTCAGCGCCCATAATAATTTGCGAACCTGTAATGCGGGAAATCAAATCACAGGCACCGATCTCTGCATACGTCATTCCGCCAAGAACGAAGACAAAGAGGTTGCGCTTACGCATGGGGAAGATATCCTTTAACTCATTCAGCTTGACAGAATTGGCGTGTGATTTCGCGCTGATTGCGGTGCCATCAGGTAGGTGCATGAGCAATTTGTCCACCATACCTACTTTGGTGGCGAATTCTTCTGAAGATTGCGCTTTCAGCAGGTACGAACTTAGCTGTGCTGCAATGGGAATATATAGATTGTTGAACACATAGCTAGCACAGCCGGCAGATGGACTTGCTGAATTATTACCGACACCGGCACTCGCTGCTCCAGCACTCGGTGGCGGCTCAGCACCAGCAGACGACGCCATCAGTCTGAGACGATTAGCATTCGCTTGAAATTCGGTTTGTTGAAATTTCGGTATGGGCAGGTTTGACAGCAGCTTGGCTGGTGTGTTTGCTTTCTCCTCTTCCCATGCCACAGGCAGTAGCCCAGCCATTGCCAATTGTTGAAAAACAACCAAATGCTGCTGGCCAAAGTAATTACAGTAGTTGCGCGCAAATTGTATTATCTCATCAGAGCTTATGCCAGCACAGAGGTGTAGTAGGCAAAGTAAGCGTAGAGTATTATATTGCTGACCATCAGATGTAAGCAGCTCATCGATTTCGTTGAGTATGCGTTTACGTGAAACGTTGTTGAGTATGTCCTCTTCCAGTGATTGTACACGTCGAAAGTTCCCTCCTAACATTTCGATGACTTGTTCGCTCGCGTTCAGGTGACGCATAACCTTCGCTTTCAGCTCTGTAACTTTGGGCAACTTGCGTGCCACATAGTCGTGCATTTCGTCGAGCTTCATGTCGTTAAATTTTTGCACTTCCAAGCCTATTGCTTTTGCTTGCGCGCGTATCTGACTGCTGGCTTGTGCAAAATGTTTGTAACGATTTTCGCCATATATTTCATCGCTCAATGCGTTCATACGTATACTAGGCAGTTTTCCGGCTCTTGGCTTTTCAACTGGTGGCTTTTCATTCAGCTTTTGTTGATCCACACGATGAGGTAGTTGAAATATTGCTAATTTTTGACGGGAAATTTTATTTGAACTCGCTTGCAGTTCAATTTCGGCAGCGCGCCTATTAAAAACTTCAAGTAACAGGCCGGCATAAATAGCCGGTGTAAGTAAACTTGAAGCATAGTCCTTATCACGATCGATAATGAGCATGCAAGCGAAATCTGGCGACGGTTCCTTGATGGTGTCATGGTCAAGCTTGCCAAGTTTGTATAACATTTTCACTAAATTCGCAGAATTTTCACCGAAAGTGAGTACCAATTCAGGTCGCCCGCACACAGCTTGTAATACACGTAACGATTGTGCTACGGCTGGTAGCAAAGATGTGTCCTTGCGCAAATATACCGTTGAAAAAACCTATTTAAATGCGTGTTTTTTTTTTTTTTATTGAACTAATATAAACCAGATGCAAAGGTACTCACATTTGGTACCTCCATACTGAGTATACCTTGATCGAGGTTGATAAAATCCCAGTTATAACGATGGAGCTGCACCAAACCGTAAAGTCCTTCCTCCTCCAGCAAAACATGAAAGTGAGTAAAGCAGCTGGGTACACAAATGATATGAAAATTTTTCACATTTGCTTCGAGATCGGTGGGCTCTTGACGTTCTAATTCGAGTATGTGCCGCACTACATGTTGAAATGTTTCTAATCTGCTGTGTATTAGGTAAATGTGCACTTGATTTTCTGCTGTACGAGGTATAATATGATCTTCATCGAATTTGAAGATCCGTTGTATACCCTTTAACTTCAGCCAGGATGCAGCACAGACATGCTCCAAAGGTTTAATCAGTGTATGTTCTATGATAAGGTCTTTTTTGCCAGGTATTGAGCAAATAATGGCCTGCAGTTTTTCTTGTGCAATAAGTTGGAAACTCTGTAACTTTTTATCCAACGTTAACTCCATTGTAATTATAGTCGTTGTAGTTAAGTTTCTCTTTAAAAATAGCTTCAACAAAACACTTTGGTGGCAGATTTTTTGCCCATTTTGTAGAGATTCGAACTAGTTTTCCGTGTTATGACTCAAAATGAAAACATTGCAGACGTGTTGCTTTGCAAATCTAATGCAGCTGTCAAAAACAGCTGTTTTGCGTTTGCAGTGCAAGAAGACGAAGAGAGTTTGAACAACAAGTGTTGTATAATAAATAAAATCAGTGTTGAGCAATCGGAATTATATAAAAAAAAGTTCAGGACCCACCACATACAAAATTTGCGTTGCGTTGGCGTTGGCTATGAATACATGAATTCAAATGCAACTCATAACCAAAATTTGCATCTCGGGAAATCTTTAGCTATTTGTACAACGATTTAGGGGTGGGGGAGGGAGAGGGGCGTGGCTCCCCAAACCCCCCCTAAACGAAAGAGGATGAACGCCGCTTTATGAAAAGTCACCCCTGCACAGAGGCGCATGCGGACTTTATCCCCGTCAAGGTAATGCTCCGAGTCGATGTTGGCACCTCGGATAGAGCGCTCGTCAAGAACGCACGAGGAGTATCTTCCATCTGTCACAAAATTATCAATTTTGGATCGTAAATATCTTTTTCTTCATGCACGAAAACGCGCGGACTTTTTATCCGGGTAGAAATGTACAAGAAGTTAATTTGAAGTAACAGCCGTTATATCCGATAGCAAATTTTGTAAAATATAAAAATGGAAATTGCACTAAAGGTTCAGAAATGTAGGTATTTTCTAATTATATTAGCTGTATGATATAAATACACACAAAAATCATTGGCCCGTAGTCATAGTNAAAAAGCTGCAACTAACTTTAAAGTCGACTTTATTTTGACTATGACTACGGGCCATTGTTTAGAACTTATTTGTTGATTCCGGGAACGAAAGTGGTTTTTTGCATTCCTCACGCTCTGGGCACTTTTGGCACGGGTTAGCACATTTTTGACACTTGTGAGAGAGTAACTTATTTTTACGCTACCGAAACAGCCCGGAAAGCGTGTGGAACAAACCTCTTATGTGCTGCACTAACTTGCACCAGATAAGAAGCTGGTGTAGTTAAGTTATTCACCGTCTAAAAACGAGCTTTTGGAACGCAAGATAATTTTTTAGCCCCAGATTTGAGAAGCAAAAATTCTAATTTAATAATAGTAATAATAGATTGGCGCTTACACATATGTTAGTGTATGGCCGAGCATCTCCTCCGATTTGTGGCGTGCGCCTTGATGTTGTCATATAGAGCGGAGGGACCTACAGTTTTATGCCGACTCCGAACGGCAATTGTGTTTTTATGAGAAGCTCTTTTTCATGGCAGAAATGCACTCCGAGGTTTGCCATTGCCTGCCGAGGGACGACCGCTGTTAAGAAAAAACCTATTTTCTACATATTTTTGCGATGTTCCTTTGACCAGGGCTTGAACCCAGGCGTTGCGGAGTGCAAGCGCGCACTGCTTACCACTACACCACAGCGGTCAACAATTCTAATTTAGAATTTCTAAATAATAAAACCGCATTGAACAGTTAAATGCACCAGAGCAAACTCAACGTTTAGGCGATTTTTTTACATACTACGTTTATGTGACAGAGTTCATGAATTCCAAAATGGGCCCGTTTAAGCATAGTTCGAGAATTCATGAAATAAAATGTTTTGAAAAAGTGGCTGGCGAGAAACTAAAAAGTAGGGTTGTGACTATTTTGGCCTCCTTTTGAAATTGCAAAAGCCGTTGGTTTTAATATATTTTCAGTTGATTCTCTTTGAATTTATTTTAGTTGCGTTCCACAACTTTTCTGGGTTAAAACCTGTAAAACTGTCAAATTCTTGCGAGTTAGGGAACGCAACTTTTATATTTGAACAATTCTACACAACTTTTCCAGTGTTTTAAATCCTGGTTATGCCACTCATGCTTTTTAATATAAAAACATCATAACCCTAGTAAACAGCTGATTGTGAAACGCGGCGTTGCCGGACTTGCACTTCACGATTGCATGAAATTATGCCGAATTCATGGTTAACTTTCATGTATAATTGAATTCATGAAATGGTGTTTATGCAGACACTTTTAACCCAAATTCATGAAATGAATTCGTGTATTAGTTTACGCACAAACGTAGTAACGGCTTCTGTCCTCTAGAGTGTGTCTGCTTCTGTCTTCTGCTTTTACTGTAAAAAATAATAAAAAATTAAAAAGTTTCAATATTACTGTGGCGTATTAATATTTAAGTCAATATTGTTATTGAGCTTTGTACCTCGATTATGTGGTTTATTTTTGGTTGGTAAATTTTCAAAATTCGAAAAGTTCCTAGGTTAAATTAAGTTATCCAAAAAGAAGCATTTCAAACTTTTTATTTGTGGCTTGCAAATACTACAAATGGGATAATGTCCTTTAAAATCAACCCTGCTGCTATTGTCTAAATGTCACTTATCATATGTTACGGCGAATTCGAGACAGCACGTATGTTATTTGCAAAAACATTTTAAAGCTATGTTACTTTGTCGCGCCCCTCCGCCGACGAAATAACCAACACATGGCGGAAAACACGAACTGCCAGATGTGCACAAGCCAACGAACATGAATATACAGCTGCTGGCCGCGCAGCACCAACACCATCCAACAAGAAGAAACAGCGAAGAGGCAGCAAAAATAGCAGAGACAGTGGACAGTGGCGCAGCAGCGCGAAACAAGTGAGGTAAAACAAGTTTTCGATGGAGAAATGTATGTCAAAACTAGAGTCAGTCGCTCTGAAAACGTCATCGTGTTCGGACAAGGAAGCGCATTTTTGACGGGTAGAAGAATTTCAACGCGTTGCTGTGTTTTTTCGCTCTACACACACGTTCAATTTAAGTTTGATCTTAATAATTGATTGCAAACATTTGAGCGAATGTGAGCTCTTGCAACTAGTTAAAGCAGCCGCGAGTGAAATTGTGAGTAAAATTAAGCAAACAACATTTAACGAGCAGTGAATACAAAGTGAATTTCCTATTGAAGGTTGTTGCTAATTAAATCTGAAAATTCCGATTCATACTAAATTTGTAAAGATATTTTTATAGAAAGAACGGGAGCATATTAAGTAACATAATCGTTGTACCAAAGTAAAGGTCTTATTTTGAAGAGTGTGTACAATTTAGGAAGTTGTATGAAATAAATTTCTTAAATAATCGCAAAACTGTGATTTAGTGAAGTGATTAGTGAGTGAATGTCGCTAAAGAAGAGCGAATTAAAGAGCAATAGAAAAAGCATAACAACGAGCCTGAGAGCCGAGCATCAGCCAATTCGCAGCAGAAAATAAACAAAACAAAGTGTATGGATATTCAGAAAAAAGGCGAAAGTTCGATTCTTGAAAATAATCACAAGGTAAATGGTACTCAAAATTTTAAAATTTGTGGTTACGCTTTAGATATAAGGGTAATATTAAATCAAGCTTGTTAGCTTTAAAAATTAGCAATACACATCTACTGCATACATACATACATAGGTGTAAAAGACATACGTACATATGTATAAAATACGAATATTATTTTAGAACACTTCGAGCAGTAGATGAATAAATTTATTAGTATTAAATGAAAATGCAAAGTATGCTTGTCGTCGTAGCAGCAGCCAACATTAAAGTGGTCGCCATATCCCCTATTCGTAGCAATTACGTGCTCATTCGCAGAGTATATCTGTGGTCATAAACAATAACCACCTAAGTCGATTTAAGGAAGAATTGAGTTATATATGCTATCGTATTCTGCAACTACTATTCCGCATGTGAAATCTCCATCTCGCCAGCTGGGCTATTTAAAAAGTTATAGACGAACATATTTTGATTTCCACATAAGGTTAATATTACAATCCAAACGTTTAAAACGTTTCTTCTCGAATTCAGATGCTTCGACTTAGGCGGTTATTGCGTATGACCACAAATATTTGTATTAACGGCGGCTACTGCTTCAGTCCGGCACGTCTTGTTTCTTCTGGTCAGCAAAATAGTAGCGACAGTGGCAGCAGCAACTGCACTGTGGCAGAAGCCGAGACAGTCGATGTAACAACAGTCTGCGCAAAGTCTGCTAGCGAAGGTGATGACTGTTGGTGGCGGGGGTGAAGATGTCGATTGGTTTTCATTTTCCTACTTCTGGTATTTCGTTTAACGCTGCACTCTAAAATATGTTCACTCTCTTTGTCCCATGCTCGTTAGTTGTCAAAATATGCCGTTTCAAACTCTCACCTACGAGAGCGTGCTGGAAATACTACAAAAATGTTTGTTTATTTGAGAAAATCACGCTAAACGATGAAAAATAATTTATTTTTGTATTCTAGAAGCAGTTGTAATGGAAGAGGCAGAAAAAGTATTGTACGAAGGTAGCCATTGTCTTGATTCTTTTTTTAATAATCTTATACCTGCTTTTAGCTATCCAGGAGGTTGTCTGCAGCAGAATTATTAAGGCGCCAGAAGGTTCTACGACCAGTTATATAGGCGTTTGCCCAATCAACCAAAGATGTTAATTTAATTTTGGCATCGCATTTGCTGTTTAAAACCATTCTAATGCTTAAGTGAAGGTAAAAGAAAGTGAAAAAGTTATTAAGATATCTAAAATGATATCCTTGCCACTAGACCATATGGGAAAATACTCTGTGAATTCTTCATTGAAATATTTATAGATTGTATACGGCGATGTTGCAGCCTAATGCAAGAGAAATGATGTCCATTATAAAATTAACTTTAATAGAAATAAATCTAAGGTGTATGTAGACAGATTTATGGAGGATTAGTTGTTCAGTAAGTTAAGTTAAGGCGATAGTATTAGAAAAACTTCAATCTTGTACCATTTTTTTATTTACGATTTCGTTCATTTAGAGCGTTAACTTTCGAAATCTGAACTGAATTCGAATCTCGAACTGAGGTGCCATACTGAAGCTAAATAAGTTTCAAATAGACAAATAAAAAGTGCCGAATAAGGTGTCATTCTTTTTAATGGAAATAATATTTATTTCCTTCTAATTTAGCAACAAAATATGAGCCATATTTCTAGAAAAAATTGCGATACCAAAATAAGATACAACTTAAGGAACTATAAATCCTTAATTACTATTTTTCAAAAGTGTAACTTTGTTACCTTATGTCAAATTGTAAAATAAGGCGACATTCGAAGTAAAATAGGACCAAAAAAACGGCAAGTTTTAAGTCAAGCTAGCAGACCGGCTATCACAGTTCTCGCCATCGAAAAGCTACGAAATTTCCATTAAAAATTTGAAAAAATTGCATATTAGTCAATCAGTAATTACTTGCTAAGTTATTAATATGCACGAAAGTGTGCTGAAAACCTAATTGTACTCGAAACAAAATGCCTTCATTTACATTATTTGGCTACTTTCCAAATGAAAAAAATATGCCGCAGCTTCAACTGTGCTCCCGCCACAACGAAAAGAAGAAAAACCTCCACATACAATTTTTGGTTGAATCCAAATGGTTATCTAAGCACTTGCACTTAAGCGCAAACGAACATATATTTACTTATATGTGCATAAACACGAATTTGTATTTTTTATTTGGCACGAGGCAGTCTACAATATTTTTTATTTACTTCGAATGGAAATCTATTTTTGTGGTATTGCTGCTCTAAAAATCGTATGGATAAAAACGTGATTCATTGCGTCGACCGTTTTTATTTACTTAAAATAATTTTTGTATTATACTCCGAGAAAATGCGAGTTTTTACGTATACCATATTTAAATGTTGATAACGAACTTTATTTTATTTTGTTCACATTCCATTATTTAAAGCATTTGTATTAGAAATCATAAAAGCATTCTCGAAATACATATGTACATAGATTAGGAAAACATTTAAGATGCAAAACAGTTTTATGTTTAGTAAAAAGCAAGAGATACATATTCAGCGTTATCATGAGTTTCATTTTCCCCGAACTGGTTCACTTTTTTTCATTGTATTCGGGCGAAACTCACGATATTGTTTATACATTCACATCACCATCTTTGTACATTTAGGCTAAGTAATTAAAATTAATAATAACTATTGGCAGTGACAATGATATAAAAATTAAAACTACATTACAATGTGCTCTTTTCGTTCCAATTCGCATGACTTTTATTGCCACTCTAAAATGATTTCACATTTTTAAACAAGCGCGTGAGTTTGTCGATTCGAAACGAACTGGATATTCGCAAAAGCAGCTACTACAAATATACTACATTGTACCATCCCGCAGTCACTGATGCGCTACAAACACTGTTGCCTTCACCGGCATACTGAATGTCAATGTTCCAGTAGTTCTCTACCTATCTTCTTCGATATTCATTTGTAAAACATTGCGCGAAATGCCGTAAGAAATTTTTGTCCGCTGCGGCTTCTTAATGCTTACGGCAGCTTCTAAGTTCAAGGTTTACCAAATTTTAATAAGTACATAAGGGTCGACGGAGCCAAGTGGAAAATAGCAGCAAATTAATCTTATTGCTGGCGTTCCCGTTGTGGAGTAAATATTTGGAAGCTACAAAGATGTGTATGTTATATTCATTAATTCTCCTGAGACGCTTATAAGCAATCATCTAAGACTGGATATATGAAATTAAATTTGAAACGGGCCCACTATTATAAACAAATATTCGAAAAAGCGATTGCGACACTTCGGAGCACGCGCGAATGAGTAAATTTTCCGAACTGTAGCTGGAGACTAGATTTCGAAACGAAAATATGGTTCTCAAATACTGTAGTGTTTGCCTGTCGAACTATTTATTGACAGCTCACCTAAAAATATAAGGCCCGCTTCTTAAAGTTCAAAGGCTAGCGGAATTAAAATGAGCATGCAATGGCTTCTGCTATGACGAGGGCAGGGATGAATGTTTGTATAATTGATACAATTTAAAAGCGAAAAGAATAACTAAAAAAGCAATTTCACACATCGCTAAGCGCTTGTTTAAACTTTTCCTTCGATTTCTGCAGCCATGGCGATCTCAAAAATTGCGATTCTGTTCTCCCTGTCGCTAAAAATTGTACAGCCTAAATTCCTAAATTTTAGTTTCTTATCCGTCCGCAAGGAGCGTTGTCCAAATTTTCTTACACTTTAATTGAGATAAATAGTTGAAATAAAGCTAAGTAATAGCAAAAACAATAGCAGCCTCAATTCGGATTTTATTTCTTTCTCCAGTAGCGCAGCGTAGCCATGAGACAATCTATAAATAGTTTCAGCATTTCGGAACAGAGGTTTGTGGAACTGTGTAGGCCCACATAAGTACTTTGTAACAATGTCTTTGGGGAGATCCGTATCAATACACAAAGACACAAAGACAGTAAAGGGACTAACCAAAATTTTGCAAAATTTGTTCCTCAAGGTGAATAGAGCTTTGTATATTTTTGTATCAAATTGGTTTCAAGAAAATCTATATTCATTTCAGGAAGTATCCTGGTCAGTGGTCAGTGGGGCAAGACTTTTGGGTAAATATGTTGAAAAGCAGAATTAGCAGAATATAAATAATATCTGAGGAGAAGATGAGAATGATGAAACCTCAAGTGAAAATGAAATGTAAATCGCGAAAATCGCTAAAAAATTGCTCAGATTTACTTAGTATTTTTTTGCCAAGGAGTTTTAGCGATTGCGAATGTTGGAAACCAGCTGCTGGTGTTCGCCTTGACATTGCCACACAAATGGTGGACCTGACCCGAGCGACAGATTGGTTTCCATGAGGAGCTTTTTCAAGGCAGTGCTTTACCATTACCTGCTGAGGGATGATTGTTATTGTTAAGAACGTTTTTGTATGTTGATTGGAACAAATATCGAACTTGGTTCCTGCCGAGTAGAAGTACCTTCAACCGTTCGCCAAAGCAACCTCTAACAGCTAAGTATTGCGCATAGTTGTAATGCATTTATAAATCTACGCTGGCCAACCCGTAATAACGATCGTATTTACCCGGTTATAAGCGTTGAACGGTCATCCGCGGCTTCGTATGTGATTTCCGCTCTACGCTTTACGCTTGACGCGTTTATGAATATATTGTCGACGTCATTCATGAGGAGACACTACAGCTTTTTCCAGTTGTGCACAACAAAGCACATCGTCATTATTGTAATTATCTTTTAGTTTGTACGCGATCACTGTATAAAATGTATTTTCATTAAGTAGTTGAATATCTACATACCTACAAACACAAACACAAAAGCATAATTGTAACAATAACTAAAAAAAATATATAATCTTGAGCGAAAATAAGTACAGTATAGTAATTTGGGGCGAGCTGCGAATGCAAAGCGCAAAGTGACAGCAAAAAGAACAGTGAAGTTAACACAACGCCAACTCATTGCCATTGGCGCTGACACAAGTATTTAAGCAACAACAAAGGTAAATGCTTAGCTATGCGGGTTAACCCGTTTTCTCTTGACTCATGACAAACACGGTGTCATCACATCCCGGCAGGTTATTATGTTTGGTACTTGAGTTCTTCGCCTTTTACAATTTTATCTCTTTTTGTGTAATAGCATATTTTTTATAGCTCTTACACCTAAGCATAGAACGTACAGGCAACGTATAGATAAAATGAAGCGATTTTGTACTTTTCAAGATAGTAAGAAATCAGTAAAATTGTCACAGCAACTACCTTAGAAACGACGTAACCTATATATGTCTGCGCCGCTACTGCAGCAGCTTTCTAGCTATGACTTCGAAGCAACTAGAACTTAAACACTACAGTAAATGTAAAGCCCCACCACTTTGTGGTGGCATACAAAGCTTTTTCTTTACCATTGAATAACTTAAGAGTTCATCATAAAAATGTAAAACGTCTATGTCCGTCCGCTACATAAATAAACTGCCAACCACACTACGCGACTTCACAAGAGACCCTTTGGTATGTATATATGAATGTATGTAATTTTAAAATTGGTTTATACAAACATATGTATGTATTAACTTATGTATCGACAGGTCATCCTCGATCTTGGACTTCCTTCGTACGTACAACAGCAATTGGGGCGGCAAAAGCTCTTACTGCATAAAGGAAACCTAAAAAGCAGGCTAATATATTTATATTGAGGGTTTACACATACACACAAGTATTTTTACGTATGTCATACCCTGCCAGCATAACCTGTTCATAGAAGGACACGGAAACGGCAATAGCTATGGGGCTGGAATTTTTGTAAGAAAGTTGACTATGGATGCATTGCATCACCTACAACACAACCTTTGGCTCGCCGCCAACCAGCCCAGTGGCGAAATGAATTTCTTTATGCAGTTTATGCAGCGTAAATAAAGCTTGTGCAAGCAATAGCCTACACATATCCATAATACAAAGCTATCGTAGAGTCATAGAAACCTCCGATTTCTATAGGAAAATCGCATTCACGTGTATTTCTTTGAGTTTTGCAAGCGTGCAAATGAAAAGGAAAGTTTTAAATGTTTACACAAGCGAAAATCGAAGTCAACAGTCAAGCAAAAAAGTGAACGAGGGTGGTACTTACCTATTTGCACACACACGCGCCCAGTATTTCGAAAGTAACATCTTTTCAATGAACACATTTCGCTCCCGTCCATATTCAATGTCATCCTTCTTCGTCTTTCCAAACATCCCGCATCTTTTGTTGCTCGCGTTGCTGCTTGTTCTTATTTAGTATCTTAGCATCTTGAGAACCTCATCAACTTTAATTAGATTCTACATAGCTACATCAAGGTCTTCGTACGTGGCACAAATGTGCGCCGAAATACATTGAATGGAAAAAATCAGAGTCTAAAGAAAAAAGAAACCTACCAAAGCAGACCATCAACAAAAAAAGAAATATGTATCATTAAATCCGTCGTGCAAACAAACAAACATTTAAATTACAACTTAAAAATTACAGACGCCAAGGGGAAGCGAAAAATTGCGCGAATACAAAGCAATAAAAATACAGAAAAAAAAACACAAGCCAACTAACCTTTGGCAATGCATCAATCGAGTCATCACTGCTTGGAGTGCTCGGTGGGCAGGAGTTTTTGCAGCGGAGTGTGTGCGTTACCCTCGGCAATATTGAGTGCTTTGGATGGCTTGCTTTTGTTAAAGTGGGCAAACGAATGATGTAGATTTACTGAAGATACAAAATAATCGTATCTACTATATAGAAGTCACTGCTGAGACTGCGAGACTGTGCTTGCTGTTAAAAAAGGTTGCCAGTTTAAGACAAAAATTGAATTACATACATACAATTTTTTTCGGCTGCATCAGTTGAACTTGACTTGTGATAGCAACGAGCTTAAACGCTTGCAGCTTTTAATGAAACATTTACCAGTCATAAGTGCAAACTATTTCGAAGTATAGTTTATCAAGATTTAACCGTCAATATTTTTTGAGAATATGAGGATCCCTAAATTCTCATTGTCAAATTTGAGAGCACTTAAGTCTTGTGAAAGCTGGTTTGCTAAACAAAATATGGAACGATGCCTTCTCGATATCCTTCGAGCAATAAGATTTACATATTTATTGAGGTATGCACTACGTCCTCCTACAATAAACTGAGTTAGGAAATCCAACAATAGGTCGTTTGATGGCATAAAGTGTATTGCAGCGCCTTCGAAGACCAGGTGCTC